TCTTCTGATTTTCAGTCATGATCTAGTTTCTTTAGACGCTTCTCCAAGAAATTACTACACTCTGCTTAACAGACACAATGTAAGTCATCTTTTCATTTTGACTCTGTGGAAAATGATAGCATTAAATAGCATTTCTCTGTTTGGGCATAGGATTGTTGTTAGACTTTCCATGTCTTCTGTCTCAATCAGACATTCTAGTTGTAAAAAATAATAAGAATAATAATTCAGCTCCACAAAAAGAGAAAGCTTAGGAGGCTAAAACTAAACAAAATAAATGGACACACTGTTACTATTTTAAAATTACGTTCACTAGGATGAATGAAGCTAAGGAAAAGACCCTCCCTGACTTCATCTTTTCCACTGAAAGGTTGGCACAAACAGCTTCTTCTGTGTTGAAGGTTCCAGTAGCTATCACAGCATTTTGTCAATTTAAACATGAATTGAAAAGCTTCCCTAACCTCCAAAAGAAAAATAGTCACATATTACTTACATAGTAATTACAGGCTATGCAGCTGCCCTACAAAGCTTTACTATAAATGTTAAGCCTGAACCACTACACAAACTACATTCAGATTTCATTAAACATTAAGCCAAATAAATGTCATTCTCCACACCAATTACATATAAAAGAACAATGGTCATCTTCCTTGTCTGAGACATAAAAACAAAATGGAATCGATGTTGTTGATCTAGTGTGTGGCTTGCTGAAAAGCATTACTGTTATCCTTCCCCAAGTAGAGAGGTCTCTTTGCCTTTCATGTTCAAGTAAGACTTATGCTAATAGGCACAAATCAAGACTGAATTAGCTTCTTTGAAACATCATTGGAGTCTAAGAAGTGAAGAAAAAGTGCCTGGCTTCCATCAGGATAAAAGTATTCATCAATTTGCATACTTAGCCTCTCTAACATTATGATTTAACGCCAACACTTCCATTTGGCTAATGGATTAAAAATATTTAACTAGTCCAACAAGTAATGTAATAGTATAATCCCGGTAGCAAAAGACTAGAGGCCAAAAATATGGAAACATTTTGCAAAAAGTACTATGAGTTTTTTTCATATTTAACTGTACCCCCTGCAAATGTAGTTTATATAGCACTTTTGATTTTTCACAAGTAACCTGAACTTTAAAGCAAATGACTTTTACAAAACTTGGGAAATAGTGGAGAAGCTAATGTTGTCACATTTATCACTTAACATGTAATAAAATGGGAAAATAAAAGCAGTCTTAAATTATACATTAGGTTTTTTTCATTCAAATAAAGGCACATTAAAATTGAATATTGTCTCATAACTTTCTAGCATGTATTTTTTTATCTCAACTTGATTTTACTTAACAATTAGAGTACACACGTAGGAAAGCAAAAGAATAAATTGAATATATAAAGTTAACATATGAAGTAAAAATAAAATTTAACAAAACTCAACAAGACCAAGGCAGGCATAGTGTCTACCACAGTCTATCTTCTCAGCCCTTGAATGGACTGGGAGATTTATAATGCTCATCAAAAACGTCTCTGTTATGCCCAGATCATGGGCACCCCCCAAAAGACCACCACAGAGAATACCATATGTAAAAGCAAGGAGCCTTTATTTATCTTGATAGAGCTTGGTCTCTCTATCTGTCCAACGCAGTGGTGAGAGCAGAGAGCCCCGAGCTCAGGTGGGGTGGGTTTTTTTGTCATAGCAAAGGTTGGGGTGAGGGGATTTTCAGGGTTCAGGATCCTGATTGGGGGACAATTGTCTAGGAGTTGTCTATAAAACAAAAACAGGTGTGTGCTAGACTCAGGGACATCTTATTTACTGGTTGGAATGTTTGGGATGTCAGGTACTTCCTCAGCCCTGGGTGGATCCCTGGGTGGTATCAGCTTAAGGCTTTTCTTGGATCTGGGTGTTGCCTGACAGTAAGCCTGTCACAGAAGCTGTGTCTGGGCCCTTAAGCCTGTCATGGCTGCTGTGTGGTCAAGCTGTTCTGGGGTGCTCTACAGTCTCAACAAACAATGGAGCAGGCTAATAGTCTGTGTCCTTGACTCATGAGCCTCTGATACAGTGTAAGCGATGCTGGCCACCTCTGAGGTCTTCTCCGCACCCCCCCCCCACAAAACCCCTAAAAACCAAAAACATACAACTACTCTACACACACCCATGTGAAAAAGACATGTAAACATAGGGTCAGATATCCTGTGGCATATCTGGCTAGTATTCCTCTTCAAGAATACAAGGCCAGCAATACTAAAGAGCACAGTGAACCTGTCAAAGACCAAAGATGATTGGAAAACATTCAACTGAACCCCAAAGTCTACAATTCCCAACTAAATACATTTCTTGGATTGCTCTCTTGAGCAGAAAAAGACACTAGTAAAAATGGATTAAATCCAAAAAAATATTTATCTTGTATTTTAATTATTTCAACATTTTTCATCACCTGTGACAAATATTTCATAGATGTTAGAAATAAGTGAAAGTGGGTTCAAGATGTACAGGCAACCCTGTATACATTTTGTTATTTTTATAAATCAAAATATCCCCAAATTAAAACTCAATTTTTAAAATTACAGAATCTTTATAGTCTCAGCAATTTTGTTGTTGTTATTGTTGTTGTTTTGAGACAAGGTCCTTCTATGCAGTAGTGGCTTTCCTAAGCCTCACTATGTAGACCAGGCTGGCCTCAAAATCACAGAGACCTGTCTGCCTCTGCCTTCAAGGTGCTGGGATTAAAGGTGCGAAGCACCAAATCCAGTTTACAGTCTCGGTAATTTAAAACTAACCATTGCCAGTATTTCTTTAACTTCTGTTAACATTTAAAAAAATGTATGTAATTTGGCCGGGCGGTGGTGGCGCACGCCTTTAATCCCAGCACTCGGGAGGCAGAGCCAGGCGGATCTCTGTGAGTTCGAGGCCAGCCTGGGCTACCAAGTGAGTTCCAGGAGAGGCGCAAAGCTACACAGAGAAACCCTGTCTCGAAAAACCAAAAAAAAAAAAAAAAAGTATGTAATTTGGTCTCTAATTGGATGAAAAATCTAATTATACATATTGATGTAGGTACCAACAATCAAATTATCTAACCCCACCTGTGTGTGGTGTGTGTGTGTGTGTGTGTGTGTGGTGGAGTAGGGATGGGGTTTCTGGTGCAAGGTTATGTGAGTATCCATGGGCCATAGGAAAACCTTGGCTATAATCCTCAGGTGTTGTCTAACTTTAACTTTCTTGCTTGCTTGAAACTCACCCTGCAGTGTAGGCTGGTTGGTTACGCAGGGAGCCCAAGAAATGCACCTATTTCCACTTCTCTGTGATTAGGGGATAAATGTGCATGTGTTACCATACCCAGCTTTTTCACTTGCATTCTTAAAGGGAACTCAGTTCCTTGTGTTTTCAGGGCAAGTTCTTTCTCTAGCCCTCTGGAATTTTAACTTGATTCTCTAATGAACAAGCATGAGGACTCTCACAGTTACAAGACCCTTCTGATAGTGACATTTATTTATAGGCAGATAAATATCAGATGATAGCAAAGCGACAAAAACCAAACAAAGAGTTGACTTCCTGGGCTATTTAGTTATTTGATTTGAGTGTATTTAGCCAGTTTGTTGAGTAACTACTTCAGTTGAGATTTACATCGGATGCATAACTATAGATTACCAAGAGGCTCTCAATACTCTTTAAATGCCTGGTCCCTTTAAACCCAGTGTTATTGAGGATATGAATTTAGAAAGAAGGCACATTTTTATAGCCCCACAGAGTTCAAAAATTGAGATTTTTTTTAAAGTTAACGTGCAAATTTCACAGAGTTTCTTTAGTGGCAGAGACTATGTATAAAAACATTCAGCTTCTGTAAAAGCCTGTTCAACTTCAAGCTGTTGAGTGAAATCAAGCACCTCTAGACGGAGACCCTTGAGAAACTACACACTGTGCAATTGTATGCAGACAATGATTGCATAGGTGTGTGTCAGTGGGTAGAAATGAGGGGAAGGCAAGGGAAACAAAAGCAGAGCTAGTGCTGTATAAGGAGAGAAAAGTAGAATAGCTTCTTTGATAACAGATAGAAAGGTATTTGTTTATTTATTTACTTATTTATTTATTTATTTACTTACTTACTTACTTATTTTATGTCTCCCTATCATTGAGATGAAGGCTTGGCCTACCACACCTGCCTGGAAAGATCTTCAACTAACAGAAAAATTTAGAAAATGCCAACAATCCAGTTGTTCATATAAAATATGGGCCGGGCGGTGGTGGCGCACGCCTTTAATCCCAGCACTCGGGAGGCAGAGCCAGGCGGATCTCTTTGAGTTCGAGGCCAGCCTGGACTACCAAGTGAGTTCCAGGAAAGGCGCAAAGCTACACAGAGAAACCCTGTCTCGAAAAACCAAAAAAAAAAAAAATAAATAAATAAATAAAATAAAATATGATAAGAACTTTTGGAGATTTGGGAAATGGTGTGGTGGAGAAACTGTGATTGGTAAAAGAAAAATGATACTAATGGAGGAGAACCTGTCTCCAAGGGAGTGAGTGCCAGGAACTCCCTGAGGACAACCCACCTGGGAGGTCATCTTTCTAATGCAGACTCAGCTTGTGGCTCTCTGGCTTACATAAGTCCCTAATGTCAACTGTACCAGCAGTCCTTTGTTATAGATACTCTGGGCATTCAAGGAAGGCATTTCAGGTTAAATACCATAAAAACAGGGCACACAATGGGGGACAATGGTGCACAGGTGGCCATGAATTCAGGGAGCCATTAACAAACATACAAATAGCCCTGAGAAAGATAATACCTCAGGAATGTGCGGTATTTGGCCATGATAGGTAGAGTGAAGGATTAGGCATTATTGTGGATTTCCATTGAATGAGTGACATGGTAAGTCTAAAAGACTGTGATATGCACACAGTAGGCATGACCCCCAAAATAAAAATCACATGTCTGAAAGCTATCCAAGATGAAAGAGTTTTTGATGGTGGAACCATGAATGTTGGTGATCCAAACACTCTTTCAGGTGATAAACTTACCTTCCTCTTGGCAAGTCTGCATCATCCTTTTTCCACCTCACAGTTGGCTGTGGATCTCCCTGGACCTGACAACGGAATTCTACCGCCTCTTCTTCTAGCACCACCTGGTTAATTGGCCTCCTGAGAAATGTGGGTCGTTCTTGGGGAGGAAAAAAAGGAAAAAGACACAAAGTAGTAAATCAGATGAGGCATGCATGATTTATGAAAAAAAATTGAAAAAATTCAAAAGATATATAGTTTATTCATAGAACACACAGACTGAACTGTTTATCACCCATATATTGATAAGGACTTATCAATCTAATATAATTAAACTGAAAGACTTGTTTGAACATAAGAATCAATATGGTTTCTGTATAAGACTGTTTAACTTCCTGGGAAAGATATAAAGTTGATATTCAATGAATCCCTGAACCAAAATAGGTGAAATTACCATTAAAAACAACCAAACAAACACTAAATTACAAACAGAGTTTAAATGATTACTCTTTCTCAACTGTGAGTCTGTAGTCATCGATAGTACTGCAAAAGTAGCTTCTGTTAGGTACAGTTTCTTAATCCAATCCAGGTGTCAAGGCTATGGCTAATCTTGCTCCAGTCTCTGACTTTCATTGCTAGAATTAAAGAAGAGACTCAGTCTCCATGTACATGGGCATATATGTGAATCTGGGGACTTCTAAGCACTGAGCCATCTCCCTAGCCCCAACTTTTTCCTTTTAAATGGTGGGAACAATGTGTCTCAGCTCTGTATTTTAAGCATAATGATGCTGTGTTATTGTTTCTGCAGTAATTAGACAATAGGATTAGTATATCTTTATAAGTGTTCCAAATGTTAATACTACATTAGCATAGGAAGTGAGATGGGCATTTCCTATGCTGTTGGATGCATTCATCCAGAGCCTGTATTAACCCCCTGCCAACAGAGAGGAAACCACTAATAACATCACTTGAGACTGAAAAGTGATATTTCAAGAGGAGACCTCTTCTGTTCCTCTGATGTTAATGGGGGCATTGTACCATAACCTGGCCGATAGAGGAACAAACTACAGCACTATTTTCAATCATTAGGCAAATGTGAATGTGGCCTCTACTACCCCAGGCTCCAAGCTTAATGGCTTGTAAATAACAGGCAGCTTTGTTTCATGAAGAAAATGGTGGGGAATGAAGCTAGCCATAGAGTCAGGGCCATGGCTGTGAAGGGCATGTGGAACAGCTCGAAGAGGATGACAAGCTGACAGAAGGAGAACTGTTGATGGACTCTTATGTGCCCTAGCAGAACCCTTCAAAAAGCAAAGGACAAGGATTGCATTGGCAGATCCACGATAGGTCAAACAGAAGGAAAAAATGAAATACGTCCAAGGGTTACTGAGTAAAATTATTTCATTACAAACTGGCAGAGATTCTGAAGTTTTAATAAAGACAGTAGACTTAAGAGATCCAAAATGAATTTTCCATCAGATGAGCAGGAGGGAATATAAAGTATAGAAGGATTTTTAACCAATTGAACATATTGGTAAATAGGGTGTGTTTGTCAGTATAAATTCTTATGAGAAAATAATCCTCGCGTTAAGTAGGGTTTATGTTCCTTGAAGTCAAACTAACTTTGAATCAATTGTTAAAGGACGTAGCATATGCAATAGTAAAAGAAAATAAACACAAATATGGTAATTTAGTCTGTAGCTACAGCACTTAAGCTAAAACAATAGCTAAATAAGGAACCAAAAGTACAATTTTATGCATGATAAAGATTCCCGTCAAAAATCAAATGCAGCTGGGTGGTGGTGGCACACACCGTTAATCCCAGCACTTGGGAGGAAGAGCCAGGCAGATCTCTGTGAGTTCAAGGCCAGCCTGGTCTACAGAGCGAGAGCCAGGACAGGCACCAAAACTACAGAGAAACCCTGTCTCGAAAAAAAAAAAAAATTAAATGCCAGTTCATTTTAGAAGGTAAGATGTTAACATCATGTTCACTGACATTGGATAGAGGGTCTTCTCCACATGAATAGTCAGAAAGAATGAGAAAGTGAGGACATAACCTAATGAAGAAGAGTCAACACTCCTAATACTGGAAGATATCCTTAAATTCATCAGAAGACAGAATGATATAAAAAAAATATTTACAAAGATGGCAGCATTGCTAGCAACACTGCAAAGTAAGAGGGTTTATGGTGATATTTTATTTGTATTAAAATGTTATTTGTATGTTAATAAATAAAGTTGCCCGGGGGTCAGAGCTATTAGCAAGCCATAGGAAAGCAGGGCAGTGGTAGCGTACGCTTGTAATTCCAGCACTTGGTAGGCAGAGCTGGGTAAGTCTCTGTGTGTTCAGGGATACAGCCATTATTGGATACACATGCCTTTAATCTTAATACCAATCATGGAAAACCTGGAGGCCTATACAGACAGGCTGTGAGGAGGCGGTCATGTGGTTGGGTTTACAACCAATGAGAAGGCAGGACAGGAACTCTATATAAAGACTTTAACACAGGGGTAGCTCTGGTTCGGAGAGGTAGGACCACCGCAGGAGGAAGGGTAAGGTTTTAGCTCTTAGCTCTGACCTCTTGGCTTTCTTCTTTGCATTGGTTCTGTGTTTATTATTTAATAAGAAGGTTGGATACATCTACAAGGGTTTGTATAAATTATTATAAATTAATATGCTAAAAATCCATTGACACTGGAATCAGCTATAGTGCTAGAGAATGCTAGAATATGTTGTAAAGACAGCTAGGCACCTCATGTCAGATTTTTATAACATTATGCTGAGTATGAATTACAAAGCAGTTCCACACATGTTTATTAGAACACGACACTAGTTCTATTAAGGAACATAAATATTCCTCCCAGGCAAATCTTTGAATGTTTTCCTTAACAGGTTCCAATCACAGCATTGTAATATATATTTAATATAAAAGGCAGAGTTTATATTATAAACATTTCTATTATTAGTTTATATTATATCACAGAACATGGGACATAGGTTTCTTAAATACTTTTGGTTACCATACATGGAGGAAAACCCGTCATTTTTTATGGTGATGTGGGGAAGCACCTGAGTTATAATTTCAAGGAGAAGGCCAGATAGGTATCCCCTGATGCTTTTCTGATTTACCTCACAGGAGTAGATACCTTCATACAGATCTCCCTCTTTACTTCTGCCTTCAAGCGGAGTCCAGCTGCTATGTAAATAGATAATCACAGGAAAGCAAGTTGCATACAAATTTGAAAAGTCTGATATTGGACACTGATACACTACAATTCAATTGACAGGGGAAAAAATGGAGGCCAAGAATAACTAAGATGAAAGTCACTTGCCTATCTATAACATAGCCAGATGGGTTTTTTGCTTCAGTATCTCAGTTTACCTGCCTTCCTACAATATAATGCAACAATTTATTGATATATTGGACTTTGTTCATAAATTTATAAAAATTTATTACTCTGAGAATTCCCATAGCAATATTCAAATAAGCGCTTCTAATCTGTATTATTCATCATTATAATTGTATTATATTAATTTTTCTGTACCTACTTTCTGATTTGTGGTACATATAATTGTCTATGGAAATAATGATTAAAAATTGCAGGTTTCATTAGCATAGCATATATTTAAAGAAAATTTGGGGAAGAAATACTTCTCTTTTCCATTAACTAAGTTTTATTTTTCTGGATATATATGAAACAGAAACATCAATATTAAAGACTAAAAAATTGCATTCAAAATGAAAATTCATTTTTAGACATTTTACATTGCTTTTTTGCTATTATTATCAAAGTAACTCCTCTTTAGATACAAACTACAAAGCCAAATAGACGTGTCTAAGGTTTCTCTTTTTGCACTAAAATAATCTGAGGGGGATTAAAAAAAAAAAAAAAAGGAAAGCCAGGGGAGTAAGGGTGAGTTGATAATAGTATAATCTAGTGAGAAATAAGGATAACATTTGATATCCACTAATGTCCACAGAGATTTTACCCATGAAACTCTGAACAATTAAAATAAACATGTGTGGAAATCTTGATCTATTGAACAAGCCAACTTAATTTTAAGACATGTCAAAATGAGGCTACTGATTTTTCCATGGTATCCCCTTACGTCTGACCACATATTGAAAAAGCAGGGGGAGAAACCTCTAGAGCCATCTGTGGACTGCTTATCAATTAGATTCAAGTCCTCCTATGTCCGCTGATCCCTAATTATATAACTATGCCATGATCAGAGGCAACTTCTTTGCCAATGCAATTAACTTTTCTTTTTTTTTTTTTTCTGTGAGATTAACTGGATTTGAATCACCTGCATAACTTGCTTGCAAGGTTAATCTCTCTGGAGATAACAGTGTTGTTTGCCAGTGTGTTACTCTGTAGAATACAGCTCTCAAATAGCCCTGTTAACCTAGTTCCAAATCGGCATTGTAGAAAACCCAACTTTACATGCAGCTATAATTAAATCTAATGTCTAGTCTCACTGCAGTCATGCCAACATTATTCAGAGAGAAAAATATTCAACTTTACACAAAATACCTTGAATCCAATAGGCCTTTGAATAATCTTTTCTTGTTTTTATGCTACAGCAAAGAAGAAATTAAGTATCCAGGTAACACATTCTCCATTTCAGCTGTACGTAGTCATTGAGAGTGGCTGTAAAGTTCCCAATGACTGTGCCATGACAGTTATTTCCTGGATGACCTTAGCAATTTTAAGCTAAAATTCACTTGACATTGTAAAAGCAGTACTGTGGCTATAATTGCATAGGTGAGGTTGTTTAAGTCCTGGAAGAAGAAAACTATGTAATAAAAGGACATTAGAGCTAACTACTGCTTGTAAACCTTGCCTTGACTTTATCTGCCCTAGCAAGAACTGCCTCGGAACAGTGCCTGTAAAGTATAAGGAAGTCATCAGATGGTTAGCTTCACAGGCCTCCTTTGACTTAACAGTGTATGTCTAATGGGAGGGAAGCTCGATAACCATTGGATGCTATTACTGTGCCCTTCCACAAAACTTGGTGATAACCCTCAGGCTCCCTGGATGTGATAATATAAATTCTGACCAAATTCATTTATTTTTGACAATAATTTTCACTCTCGGAAGCAAAAACCAAAAATAGATAAAATTTGGAGGAGAAAATTCTTGCGTTTTAAAAACAAT